CCACTGGTGACCCACCTTGCGTGTGCCCTCCAGGCTCCCCTGTCCCCCTGTCCCCCTGTCCTCCTGTCCTCCTGCCGCCCCCTGTGTCCCCTCTGGCAGCTCTGGGGGGACACGAGGGAGGGGCTGGTGCTGCTCTGACTGACCCCGGGGTGCCCCCTGGCACAGGGGTGACCCCCTTCCAGCTCAGCTCACCCTGACACCCCCGGGACAGGGGGCAGGGCCACGGGACAAAGCACCGAATTCCAGACACAGGGATGTATTTTCCCGTGAAGGTTTTGGGGACACAGGAGGTGGTAGAAGGACTTGGGACACAGGGGGTGGCACAGGGGGCACAGAGAGTGGCAGGACTTGGGATGCACAGGGGACAGGGCAGCCTGGGGCGTGTGGGGGCCACAGGGAGGGGGGCACATGATGGCAAAGGGACATGGAGGGGACACAGGGCGGCAGAGGGGCACAGGGGTGGGATTGGCACAGGCGCTTCGGTGTGGAGCTGCTCAAAGGGTGACCCACCCCCCACCTCAGACCCATGAACTCCCCCCTGGATACCCCCCCCGCAGTCTGGAGGCTCTCCCTGACATGGGGCTCTCCTTTGGGGGTCTGGGAGGGTACTCGGCTCATGGGGTGTGGGGATTTGGGGGAACATGGGGGATTTGGGGGGCACATGGACAACATTCCCGACTCCCTTCCCTCTGGCTCCTGGCAGCTTTTCCCGTCTGGGTTGGGTTTGTGTGCCCAGGTTTTGGTAGCAGGGGGGCTCCAGGGGTGGTTTCTGTGAGAAGCTGCCAGAAGCTTCCCCAGAGTCCGGCAGAGCCAATTCCAGAGGCTCCAGGATGGATCCGGTGCTGGGTGAGGTTGAGCCTGGCAGGGATGGTGGTGACACCTCAGGGAGAACGAACCGCAGGAGGAAAAAGTCCTTGTGCGGGTGAAAACTGCAGCCAGAGAAGAGCAGAGTGAGAACACGTGAGAGGAGCAGCCCTGCAGAGCTCCAGGGCAGTGCAGGAGGAGGGGCCGGAGCTGCTCCAGGAGTGGAGATTCCCCTGAGGTTCTGTGGGGAAGCCCCTGGGGAGGCAGCTGAGCCCCTGCAGCCCACGGAGGCCACGTGGGTGGGTCAGGGATGTTCCTGCGGCTCGTGGAGGGTCGGGGGGGTCAGGGATCCACGTGCAGCCCTGAAGAGCCCACCCGCAGCAGGGGATGCCCGACACAGACTGTGACCCTCTGGGAAGCCCGTGCTGGAGCGGGGTCCTGGTGGAGAGAGGAGCCCAGGCTGGAGCGGGGTCCTGGTGGAGAGAGGAGCCCAGGCTGGAGCGGGGTCCTGGTGGAGAGAGGAGCCCAGGCTGGAGCAGGTTTGCTGGAAGGACTTGGGAGCCTTTGGGGGCCCAGCTTGGAGCAGGGCTTGGACTCGGGCTCGTCCCCTGAGCAGCAGCAAGAACAAGCTGTGATGACCTGCCTGTGACCCCCATTCCCGTGTCCCTGCGCTGCTGGAGGGGGTGAAGGGAGAGCCTGGGAAGGAGGGCAGGTGTTTGTAGGATTGATTTGACTTCTCATTCTCCTGCTCTGATTTTGTTGTTAATAAATTCAGTTACTGTCCCCCTGGTGAGTCTGTTTTGCCTGTGACGGTGATGGGTGAGGGATCTCTCCTGGTGTTTGTCTCAATTCATGAACCTTTCATTATATTTTCTCTCCTCTGTAGAGGGCAGTGACAGAGCAGCTTTAGTGGGTACCTGGTGTCCAGCCGGGGCCAACCCACCACACCATCAGTGCAGCCGGGACCTGGGGAGCTGAGTGAGGAGCTCCAGCCCCAGCCCAGCCCTGGGAATGGGCAGAGCCGGGAGCAGCACTGGGATAATCCCCCCTGGGAGCACCCGGGGGGCTGAGGGCTGAGGGCTGGGGGATGCAGGATGAGTGACATGGATGAGGGATATGGGATGAGGGGTTGGGGATGCACGATGTGGGATGAGGAGTGGGATAAGGGATGTGGGATGAGAGATGCGGAATGGAGGACGTGGGATGGAGGACACGGATGGGGGATGTGGGATGAGGGGCAGATGAGGGATATGGGAAGAGTGATATGGGATGGAGACTGTGGGATGAGAAAAATGGGATGAGAGCAGGAAGGCTCAGCAGAGGGATCTGGACAGGCTGGATGGAGGGGCAGAGGCCAACAAGGGGGAGGGTCCTGCTCTTGGGCCACAACAACCCCCTGCAATGCTCCAGGCTGAGGAAAGAGTGGCTGGAAAGCTGGGAAAGGACCTGAGGGTGCTGGTGACAGTGGCTGAACGTGACCCCAGGGGTGCCCAGGGCAGTGCCCATCCCTGTGCTGGCACTGCTGGGGCACGTCCAGGGCTGTGTCCAGGGCTGGGCCCTCAACAAGAGAGACACTGAGGGGCTGGAGTGTGTCCAGGGAAGGGAACGGAGCTGGGAAGGGGCTGGAGCAGCAGGAGCATCTGGGGGGACTCAGCCTGGAGAAAAGGAGGCTCAGGGGGGACCTTCTGGCTCTGCAACCCCCTGACAGGAGGCGGGAGCCGGGGGAGGGTTGGGCTCTGCTCCCAGGGAACAAGGGACAGGAGGAGAGGGAACGGCCTCAGGCTGTGCCAGGGGAGGGTCAGGTTGGACATCAGGAAGAATTTCTCACTGGAAAGGGTGGTCAGGCCTTGGAAGGGGCTGCCCAGGGAGGTGGGGAGTCCCCACCCCTGGAGGTGTCCAAGGAATGACTGGATTGTTCAGTGGGACAGTGGAGATCAGTCACAGGCTGGACTCGATGCTCTCAGGTCTTTTCCAACCTAAATGATTCCATGATTCTGTGATGTGGGATGGAGGATGCAAGATGAGGGGTGGGGCTGAGGGCTCTGCCTTCCCAGGGGCCCAGATCCCCATTCCCACCATCCCCAGGTGCCTCCCGCTCCCTCCCCGCAGCAATTCCAGCTCACGCGGCTCCTTCGTAACGAAATAATTTATTTCCTAACAATCAAACAAGACAGAAATATCCATGGACACAGCAAAGGTCTCCTAAAACACGGAATTCCTAAAAAAAAAAAAGCACCATTCCATTGGCTTGACATGGGATTCGGCCCGACAATGGGATATTTACAGCAGGAACGGCTGGGAACGGGATCCGCGCCCGCTCCCAACTGCCCCAGGGAGCCGAGGCTGGGGCGGATCCGCTTCCTGGGGAGCAAAAGGAACAGAAAAAATGACGGGAAAGCACAAATAAGAGGTGCCCCAAAAGAATAATAAAGGAAAGGTTGAGTGGAGACGGGGTGGCTCCACTGGAAAAATCAAGGATGAAACGAACATTTTGGTACTTCCCGGGAGCCAGCAGGTCAGGATCTGCCTTCCACGAGGAAAAAGAAAGGAAAAACAACCCACGAATGGGTGGGTTTGATTCCCGCCCATCATGTCCCGATACGGCTCCTCCCACTCCCTGGATTTTTATCACAATCTATAAAAAAGTCCTTCCTGCAGCTTATTTCATAGGAATGCTGGTGGATCAGTGAATTCCAGGAACAGGCTGGCACGGCCCGGGGGGACCCAGAGATCCGCCAGGCTCCAGCCCCATTCCAGGTTAGTGCAGCGTTTCGGGGGTTCCCGGAGCACAGCCCCACAGAGCAAAGGGCCGGGAAGGGTCAGGTTGGGATAGGGAGGAAAAAAGGGGGGAAAAGAAAAGGTGTCGGGAACTGAAAAAGGCACAAACCTGCCAAAAACCCTCATTTGCGTTGAGGTCAAACCTTAGGAATGTCCAAAACCAACCGAAACCCAACGTTTGGTACCTCCGGAAGGGTTTTCCCAATGCCAGGAATCCCCTCCCGGAGGGATCCGCTGGGATTCCCCAGGGAAGGGACGGATCTGGCCAAACACCACCGGAGTCACCAGCCCCCAAGGGCTGATATTCCACATTTTCTTGGTGTTTTCCATCTTTTTGCCTTTTTTTCCCTCTTTTTGAAGGTGCAGGGGGTTGAGCTCAGGCGCCCACGGGCTGTGGTGATGCTGGAGGGTGGGAAATTCCAGGGCCTTTAAAGGAAAATCCCTTGTGGTTTGGGTTTTTTTTTTCTCTTTTAAGAATCAGCACGTGGAAAAAGAGCCGAAACCTGGGGGATTTGGGTAATTCCTGGGGCCTGTGGCAGCTTCCTGCTTCCCAAATGGGCTAGAAATGGGATTGGGGTGTGAAGAGAAAGGAAAAGCAGAAAAGGAGCAAAAGAAAAGGAGAAAAGAAGGGAAGGGAAGATGGGAAATAAGACAGGAAGGAAAATGGGACAGGAAAAAGGAAAAGAACTGGAGTTTCCCCCTCATCCCCTTGCACTCCGTGGAGCATCTTGGTGCCTCTCAGCACCTGCAATTCCTGAAGAAAAGGGGCCCTCAGAGCCTGTTTTTCATCCCAGTGCTGGGAAAAGCCCTTGGAGAGCTCCCTGCTGGACACTGAGGCCTCACTGACCCCACGGGGCTGGAGCGAGAGGGTCCCGAGGGGCTGGAAAACTCCTGGAGCAGCCAAAGGGAAAAGGAAGGTGTGGAAAGCAGAGCTCCAAGTGCCAACATTCCCAGAGCAGCTCTAAAAGCAGGAAGTGGTGGGAATGTTCCCTCCAGTGCACCGGGAACCGAACAAACACCACAGACAGCTCAGTGCGCTCCGGCTCGGGACCCCCTCGCCCTCGGGGGCTTCTGGAACCCTCCACGAGCCTGGGAAGATCCCGGAGGGATGGAGAAGAGCTCCAGGGCCGATCCGGGGGGTCCCGCGGGGTTATTGCTGAGCGGAGGCATCATCTTTGTGCTGAAGGGGTGGAGAGAGGCCGGGGGCTCCCTCCGAGGTAGAAAATACTGTCCCCGAGACTGGAAGCGTGGAGAGGAATTCCAGGAGTCTGGAATGCCGTGCCACGGGAGGTGGGACGTCCCGTTTGGGTTTACGGAGGGCAGAAACTTCCCAGCCCGGAGGTGGCCGTTCCGAGGGGGGGCTGCCATTCCCCACGCCGGGAATGCTCCGGGACCTCGGCCAGGGCGGGATTTGGGGTGTCCTGAATATTTCGAGTCGGGGGGGAGGAACCCCCCGACTGAGGCCGATCCCTGTGCCCACCCAAAATGCTCCCTGGGCGGGTTCTCAGCTCAGCTCTGCTCTCTCCCAGGTGGAAATTCCACAAGAGGCCGGTTCTGCCTTCGGATCTGCTCCCAAAAACTCAGCTTTTGGGTCCTGAGCGTCAGGAACACGATGTCGCCGGCCAAATGCGGAGAAGATCGGGAATACCGGGCGGTGACAGCCTGGGAGAGAACCCAGGGAAGGCTCTGGAGGTCGCTGTTACTGCCACGATATTCCCAGGCGCTTCCAAGCGTGGCTGGAATGTAGGGCCTGGCAGAAGAGATCCCGGCCGGGCCGAGGAGCCGGCGGGCGCGAGCGGAGCCCCGGGAGCAGCGGGATCGGCGGGACGGGCGGGGGATGCGGGGGGGGTCGGTGTGCTGGCCAACGGGATCCCACGGGAACGGCGCCGCTGGAACGGCCGCGGGAAGCGCTTCCTACATCCCGAGGGGAAGCTTCCGGCCGCTCGCCGGCTTCGCCCTGGTCCCGCCGGAGCTGGAATACCCCTCGTCGCTGCCCAGGCTCTGGAGGCTCCCGCGCTCGTCCGAGTCGCTGGGGCTGCTGCTGCTCCAGTCCAGGTCGGCCGGGAGGTCGTCCGTGCTCTCCACATCCACATCCATCTCTTCTGCCGGAGGAATGGGAACGGTTGGAGTCCCAGCGGGGCCGGACCTCCTGCCGGCCGTCCCCCGGAGCGGGGTCTCACCTCGGTCCGAGTCGGAGCGCTCGGAGGACAGGCTGGAGCCGATGCTGTCTATCCTGACCCGCTCCATTCCCAGCTTTTCCAGCTGCCGCTGGAGGTGCCGCTGCTCCCGCTGCAGCTGCTCGATCTGGTGCAGGGCTCGGCGCTCCAGGTCCTCCAGCTTCTGCGGGAGGACACACGGCCCCCTGAGCCCCCGGGATCCCGGCACGGCCACCACGGCTCCCGAGGGGCTCCCAGCTGGGCACGTGGAGCTGTATGGATTCCAACTCCCCCTGTCGTGCCGGCCCAATCCCAGCCCTCCCACAGATATCCCAGCCCAATCCATCGCTCTCCCAGTTATCCCAGCCCAATGTCAGCACTCACCATTATCCCAGCTCAATTTAGCACTCAGTTATCCCACTCTGATCCCAGTGCTGCCCAATTACCCTAGCCCAATCCCAGAGCTCTCCCAGTTAACCCAGCCCAATCCAGTGCTCCTCCATTATCCTGGTCTGATGCCATTGCTCTCCCAGTCCTCCTAGCCCAATCCCAACCCTCCTCCAGTAACCCCAGCCCAACGCCAGCACTCCCCATTATCCCAGCACAATCCAGTGCTCTCCCAGTTATCCCAGCCTAATCCATCACTCTCCCAGTTAATCCAGCCCGCTGTCTCTGCTCCCCCAGTTATCCCAGCCCAATCCCAGCACCCCCCACCCCCCATCCTGGGGGGCTGTTCTCATCTCTGCCCCCCTTCCCGGGGCCGCATCCCGGTTTTCCCGGCTCACCTGGATGTGGAGCCGGGCCCTGGTGAGGAGGCTGAGGGTCGTGTGCCGCCCGGCCGCCGCCCCCAGGGGCACCAGCCCCTTGAGCCTCTCCAGGCACAGCCGGAGCTGGGCACGCCTGGAACGGGAGCAGCGGGATCAGCTTCCCCAGGGAAAACTGGCCTGGGGGGAGCTAAACCCAGCCGGGGGCCTTCCCAGCCTCCAGGGGCTTCCAGAAACTGGGAGAAAACCATGGCCAGGCCAAAGGACACCTTGGAAAAACCTCGTGGATAAACCCTGCGGGTACCCTGGGCTGTCGGGATGATCCCTGGCAAGGAGATGCCAACGACCTCAGAATTCTATCCACTTGTGTTCATTGTCTTCCCAAAATCTCCACCTCAGGAATGCTGGTTGGTTCCTGCTGACAGCAAAGCTGCCCAGGCTGACACCCAGCTGTAAATCCCTTGGGAGCACTTCCTTTCCATACTTTTATTAGGAACAGGGCTGTTTTGGATCCAAAACAACACCAGATCCCTGTGGGAGCACTGACCACGGTCCAGAAATCCTCCCTCTCCATGTAACATCCAGGTCTTCTCCACATTAATATGTAGGACATTAAAGCCAGAGGGAAACTCTGGCTCCATGAGGAAATAAATCCCTTTACCTGCCGATAACCAGGATGCTCCCAGCACATCCCAGTTTCCCTGTGTCCATTGCTCCAATCCCAACATGTAGGTCAGATCCTTGGGAGTAGGTTGCAACACCCATCTCTGAACCACCCGATCCTGGGCAGCTCCAAACTGGGATTTTGCAAGGACCTGCTGGTCTTGTTTGGGATACACTGGGAGTAAACAGGGATTTCCTCACCCAAAGGACCTCGGGATGACAACACAGGCAAAGAAAGTGGGATTTACTCTTGGGATAAATCCCAAACTCCAACTGGCTCAAAGATGAGCCTGGGGAAAGATAATTTTCCTGACTAAGTGGAGTGGGAGCTGGCTGAGGAGATGGATATCATTCCCAGCAGTCAAGGACAGGGAACGCTTCAATCCTCGGTGTCCTTTATCCCACCCCTTCCCTCCCACCCCCCATCTCAACCCATCTCAGCTGGAAAACCCCTGGAAAAGCAACAATTCCTCCAAAACCCAGCTCCTGACAAACCTCCAGCACTCACCTGTTCTTTTCCATCTCATTGTGTGTCGACCTGGAAAAGAAGGAAGAAGTTATTACTTCCTCTGGCTGATTAGGGATTAATAGCTGGGATTAACATGTTGGAATTAGCAAAGGCTCCCTGGAAAAGCTGCAAACCAGGGGGCTTCCAGAGCTGCCCCAGAGCCAGGGATGGTGAACACGGCGGGATCCAGACGGGGGAATTGCTGGACAAATGGAAACAAAGGGTCAGGAAAGCTGGAAAATGGGATTTTAACGCAGAGAGGGTCAATCTTTAGAACTGGGATTGGGATTAACAGTGGTACCAGTGATGGGAAGTTGCTCCATCTCGACTCTGGGCAGAGCCTGGGTGGGATCCCCAAACTGGCTCAGAGCACTCCAGGGACCGGGAGCCTCCCAAGCCTCGCCGGCATCCAAAGCCCATTCCCGTCTCCAAGTCATCCCTCAAATGCCAGGAAGACGTGGAAAAAGCCCTTCCCTGTGTCCAACAGGGAGCAGCTCCAGAGGAGATTCTGAACGCACCACTGACACGTCACATCCACAACAAATCCCCCCGGAGCTCCCAATTGCCACGGAGCCGGGAAAAGATGGAAAACACAAGCTACAAAATTCCTGCTGAAAGCTGGGAAAGAAGCTACAGGAGGCCCTGCTGACCATGTCCCAGGAATGATGCTCGGGGAAGAGCTGCTTCCCTGGCCACAGACTCCCTAAAATCTCTGGAGGCCTCGAGAAGTTCCACTTGACCTCAGGAAAAATGTTACATGGCCTGAGAACTTAATGGTGGGAATGAGCCACAGGTTGTTTGGAGAGGGATGTCTGCTGGGATGGCCCCATGGGATCTGGGAGGGCAGGTTGGTCCTGATGCTGAAGGGAAAACAAGGGATGGATTGAAGGGAAAATGAGTTGATGTGCCAAAGGGAAGAAAAAGGGATGTTACTGAAGGGAAAATGAGAGATGTCAAAGGAAAACAAGGGATGGCAGCAGAGGAAAAGGGGGGATCCCACTGAAGGAAAAACTAGAGATGCCACCAACACAGCAGCAGCAGATGTTCTCGAGGGTCTCCTTCACTTTGCCAGCAGCATTTCCTGATGGATCACCCGGCTCCGGAGGCTCTGTTGGCTTCCCAGTGCCATCAGCTCCCAAAAGCCACAGCCCTCACAGCCCCAAAAATGTTTGAGCCAATAAATCCACGTGTTTCACCCCCAACCCTTCACCACAGGGCTGTGACAGGCTGCAGCCTTCTGAGCTATTCCCTTGATCCCAACTTATCCAAACACTTCCCAACCACAGTACAAACAGGGATGAAGCTCCCATCACCCTCACTAATTACAAACCCATCCTCTCTTCCACTTGAATCTTTCCTGGAATAGTTGTTTTCCCTTTTGCTTTGCATCCACCATCACCAATATTTAGGAAAATATCAAATAATTGATGAATTTTAATTTTGGATAAAATAAACAGGGACAGAGGGGATGGCAGCTTCACCCTGGAGCAGATGGAACATATCCACGTGCTCCCAGATCCTTTCCAGAACGATTTCATACCCATGGAGTCCCTGATTACAATTCCCACTAATTAAAACTTTGGCTGATCACCAGCTTTCCCTTCGGAATGTGGTTTTTTTTTTTCCCTGAAAAAACCATAACAGCTTGGCCTGAAGCGAACAAAATCCTCCGAGAGGGAAACCTGGAGCAAGTCCAGGCAGGACAACCCCCCGGATTCACCTGGAGCCTGTTTGAAACAAGAGCCCGAGGCCTCAGCTGCCTCCCACCCCCCTGACAGCCCGGGACACCTGCGTGGGCGGGACAGGGCACCGGGAGAACCCCGGGAGAACCCCGGGAGAACCCCGGGAAGCACAGCACGTGCACATCCAGGTGGATTTGTTCTGGCGGCTGCCAAAGGTCGGCGCAGACGGGGCTGCTCCCGACCAGGAAAGAAGTGACAGACGTGGTGCCATCCCCGCCTGGCTCCTCCCTGGCACCGTCCGGCGCCAGTGACGTGTCGGGATGAACCCGCTGCCCCTCGGAGCTTCCCTGGGCTTGGAGGCACAGCCCGGAGCCAGCCCTTCCCAAACCAGCTCATCATTCCCCCTCCCCGGCGATCCGAGGGAATTTCGGGTTGTTAAAGTGAAGGAATAAAGCACGAGGGCGACTCCTGTTGCTCCTGGGATGGTGGGATTTGCTCCTAAAACTCAACGTGGGTGCGTGGAGCTGATTTCAACTTGTAGGAAAGGTGGTTTAGGACTTTCAGGTTTAGGACTGAAAATCAGCAGGAAATAATAGGGAGGGACAGTGGAGAGGAACAACCAGGGAGGGATAACAGGGAGAAAAAACCAAGCAGGGATAACAGGGAGAAACAACCAGGCAGGGATAACAGGGAGAAACAACCAGGGAGCAACAACAGGAAGGCTCTGGGTGGATTTCAGGGTGGATAATTAAGGAGGTGACAGGAGGGTCCCCTCCAGCCCTGCCAGGGGCCCTCTGACAGCAGGACCTCACTGGGCCTGGTCCCCTGGTGACAGGAGGGTCCCTCCAGCCCTGTCACACACCCAGTGACAGCGGGGCCTCACCGTGCCCTGGTCACCCGGGGACAGGAGGGTCCCGCCCACGGTGTCACACACCCGGTGACAGCAGGACTTTGGTGGCACCAGAGCCCCACCCAGCCCTGTCACACAGCTGGTGACAGACAGGCCTCACCAGAGCCTGAGCAAACAGTGACAGGAGGGTCCCCCCGGCCTTGTCACACCCCCGGGACAGAGGGACACACCAGGGACTGAGCACCCCCATGACAGGAGGGTCACCCCGGCCCTGCCACGTGTCTGGTGGCAGCAGGACCTCACAGTACCCCAAACCCACGGTGACAGGGGGTCACCCCGGCCCTGTCACACACCTGGCGACAGGGTGACCCAACCAGAGCCTGGTCACCTGGTGACAGGGGGTCACCCCAGCTTGGCCACAGGCCCTGTGACAGTGGGGCCTCACCTGGCCCAGACACACGGTGACAGGAGCCCCCCCAGCCCTGTCACACCCCCGGTGACACC